CAGAGTCAGCGGGAGGGATCTTGGCAGAGCAGCGTTCTGGAAGGCGGCTCTCGCGGCCCAGATCCCCTTGTGCACGGTTGCAAGTGGCACCTGTGACAGGAGGCACTGCAGTGAGTGGGAGCTGCATAGCACCTGCGGCGACAGGACCCCACTGTGTGCCCACGTCCATCGACTCACTTAGACGACAGCACACACTGAGCCACGCACATGACTCCGTCCCACAGTAAACCTGGGTTCCATGGAAGCAGCGTGCCCCTCACCTGCGGACACAGCCCGGCTGCTTGTTTTAAAAGAGACATGTTTTCCTTTTCCTCTTGAGTTATCTATTGTCCACCGGAAGAAGATGTCATCAGAAAAACTAGGAAGTGACTGTCTCCCAAATTAACACGTGGGCTTCAACACCTGGGACCCCTGCCAGGGCATACCTGGAGAGCAGCCCTTGAAGAGCACCTTTAGGAGTCCCAATCCCCCACGGGCGGAGCCATAGCCTCTGGGACACGAGTTTTTGCTAACAAAGCCATAAAATCTCTCCTTCCTTTTTCCTGAAACCGTGTTCTCAATATCAAATTGGTATGAATTGGCACTGGGGACGAGGACCAAGCTATGGGAACACCATTTCCCTTTGGACAGATACACAGATGTGCAAGCTGCCTCAAGTTTCTGTGTCCTCGTGGTGGCATCTGTTGGGTGCTGAGTCGCTGCAGGTGACAACCCTGGTGTGTGAGCTCTTCCAGGATTCCTAGCCATGGTTCCCCCAGGGTCAGTGGCATGGGGACAGATGTTGCCCAGTGTACATGGAGGTCACAGGATCTGTGTCAAAGGGACAAGTTTGTTGGAAGAGGAGAAGTTTATTTTGAAAAAGCTGAGATGTTGTCACCTAAGGCCAGCGTCCAGCTGCAGACACCAGCAGCAAATGCGAAACCCAGGCATTTTGTCCAGGGAATACCTGGAAGTTCCCAGGGAACACTGTTTTGAACAGAACTAGATATTTTGAAAATTTCCATAAAACTTAAAAACCCCAAATGTCAGAGTAACAAAAGAGCAGTTCATATGTTTAAATTTAAAATCGATCTCCAAATTCATGATCCACTTTAAATTCAATACAGAAGAGGGCAGGGCCCGAGAACAATCAGGAAAGTCCAAGGAGAGAGGTCGAGCTCACTCAACGTGGGGCAGGCATCTCTTCTCTTAAGGGTCTGCAGCAGCTGGACACACGTCACCCCCACCAGAGCCTCACCAGGCTCACCTGTGCCCAGGTGTCTCCCCAGGAAACTCTACTTCTCCTACACTGTCACCTGCCTTCTGTCATCCTTGAGGACAGCTCACATCCCCATCTTTGCCGGGTTTCTGTTCTCGAGACTAAAAGTCTCAGGGGTCACTCCAGTTAAACTGGGCTAACTGGGCTGCACGAAATAACCACACAAGAGACACAAATACCTTTTTCTTTGGGGTCACCATGACGGCTTCTCTGACCTTAAGGGTCCGCAGGAAGAGAGAGAGCGAGAGCACGCGCTGACCCTTTTATTGAAGAGAAGTTATTTAAAGGCAAGGGGTCAGGTTTCAGGGGGCTGAGTATCTTCATGATGTCCCCTGTCAGCAGGTTGACTGACACCTGGGTAGGCCACACCCAAGGGCACAGTAAGAGAAGGGGACACACACAAGGCACTTCCATGGAAGATTCTATCCTAAACAGGGCAAGGGGTTATATTACAAAGGAACAGGTGAGCTTAGCTCCACCCATGGGCTGTAGCAAGACACACCCAGGCAGGAGACACTGACCCTCGGACCCAAGAAGGGTGGGGAAAGCCCTGCCACATTTCTGTGACTGAGCGCCTCAGCACCCAGCCAGGGAGTGTGACTCAGTCACGTGTAAGGTTGGTCTCCACACATCTTGGTGATCAGTTTTTATTTTATAAGATCCTTAAACCAGGTGCAAAAAAAAAAAAAAAGAAGAGGCAGCATGGCCGGTCCTATCTTCCGCCCCTGCCCAGGTCTGCGTTGTTCTCCATCTCTTCAATTCCCACCTTGACACCCCCCAGGACCCTGGGCCTGAGAAGCCCAGGGCTGCAGTGGTCACACCTCCCCTTCCTTCCTCCCAGAGCCCCAGGCCACTTCCCTGACTCAGGTGAAAGGTCCACCACCTGCTCTGACCATGGGCTTCCACCCACTTCAGTCACCCAGGTCCGAGAGCAAGCTCGGGCCTTCCTGGCTGCCCTCTTTGCTCTGTCCCTGAAAACAGGCTCAGGCCCTAAGCACTGAGCCAGTGGACAGAGGTTGTGAAGCCCGTCACAGCCCCTGGCGCCCACCCGTGAGCTCCCCCAGTTGCTCATTCTGAGCAACATCCTCTGACCAACAATTAGCTCCTTCCTGCCACAGCCCGGGACACCCTGCCGGAATTTCCAAGGCCCTCTGGACGAGGTGGCCTCCCTCCCAACACAAGGATGCTCCCTGGGGTGTTCTGTCACATGAATTCATCCAAGAATGTGTTGGGGGGGAATTCCCCAAAGAATTGGCAGATTTTCTTTTATCAGACAATAAGAGCAGCAAACTGTTCTGCTTTCCCTTCCTTCCCGGGAAGCCCGGAGCTGCCTCATGCTGACCACACGGCCCTCCACAGCCCAGGTCTGTTCTGTTCTCACCCCCATTCATTGGCACAGCCTCGTGCTGTGTCCACTTGTGCGTCCAGGCGAGGAACTGCGTGGCAAGGTGGTCCAGGCTCACCACGTGGCCTTGACAGGCAGCCCTTCCTCCCACCTCCCCAGCATGGCATGCTCGCCTGCTGGGGTATCCTAACCGCACGGTGGGTTGGGGATCCCGCACCGTTCACCTTCCATCTGTCTAAGTCAGCTTCTGCACCACTGTGACCAAAATACCTGACAGGAACAACCTAGAGGAGGCGAAGTGTATTTGGAGCTCGCGATGTCACAGGTCCCAGTCCACAGATGGCGGACCCCATTGCTCTGGGGCCTGAGGTGAGGCAGGACATCATGGCAGATGAGCCCAGTTGAGGAGAGCTGCTCAGCTCCTGGCGGGGTCAGGAAGCAGAAAGACGGGTGGGGAAGGGGCCACCGGGAAGATGCACTATTCCATGGCGCAGCCCCAGTGACCACTTCCTCTAGCCATGCCCCACCTGCCTGCTACCATCAGTTCATTCAAACTAGGATGGACTATTACAGCTCTCACAATCAGTCATGCATCTCAGAATATAGGAATATTTAACACCAGCCTGGGGGGCACCTCCTATGCAAACCCTAACACCACCCTTGGGATCAGCAAGCCACCCTTGAAGTCCTCAGCCCCTAAACCCTAGGAAATGGGACCGCTCCAAAGAGAAATCGACTTGGCCAGCAGACCTGCAGAAGTTCCCGGCCAGCGGACCGGGTTCCCACTCTTCTTTTCCACTTTTAGCGTGGCAAAGGAAAAACATGGCGTTTTGGTGTTACCAGTAAAGGAAGGGGACGTTGGCAATGAGCTCCCTCATTGTCAGTGAGCCTAGCCTCCAGGGAAGCTCTTGTCCAGCCCTGAGCAGATCCTCCTCCCGGCAATCAGGCCAGGGCTTACAAGAAATGCTGGCAGACCCCCCTCCAGGCCCTGGAACTGAAGGTTGGGTGACATCTCTGCCCCCCATCTGTCCACCCAGGCCTCTCGGCCGCTCCTCCATAATCAAGACAAACGTGCAGTCAGCAGGGAACTGTGTATTTGAGGGTGGAAATCTAGGCTTCTGGTTCGGTCCAGTGCAGACAGAAGGGCTCCGTGCCTGGGACAGAAAGCTCACTTTCTAGAAACGCTCTTATTCAACAGCCTTTCCACATCCTAACCCTAACCTGGTCTAGACATAAAATCACCCCCAACTTAAGTCACTTTGTAGGGAACATTGGAGACACTAACACAGGCAAAAAATTCAATTCATCCAAAGTTGTGTCACCCAAGCTTGTGGCTCCGCTGCCTGGATCCGACATCAAGCCCGGGAGGCTCCAGATGGCCCGCTGTCTTCAGGGGCTTGTGGGGAGAGAGTCAGCCTCGACTTCCAGCCTTGGCACCAACCCCATGCATGGCCTGGAAGTGCCACTGCCTGCCACCCTGGCCATGCCCTGTGCACGGGCCCCTGGGGGCTGCACAGAAGGACAAGACCCGAGTCTGGTCACCAGGTGAGCTGGCGCCAGGAATGGACTCCTGAGCAAACACAGGTTTGGAGGTTTGTGCACACCTTGCTGAGCGTGGCTCCCCCTGCCCGGGGGCCCATGGTGCAGACCCTCGGTGGAGGAAAAGATTTGAGGGCAGGAAAGGCGTCAGGTTAGGAACGAGCCCCCTGTGGCATTGCCACCTCAAGAGAGAGCTCGAGGCACAGGACAGGCTGAAGACTTGTTCTAGATACTTCCCTGGTTCAGCTGCCCTTGAAGGGACACTTCTATCCCCAGTCGAGGGCAGAGTTTGGGACAAGGCTCTGCCTGGGACTAGCTCACCCTGCTCCCGCTCCTTTGGCCCTGGCCTGAGCCGGTGAGTCTCTTTCAGCTGTCTGCAGATGCCAGGCCCCTGCTCACCAGGACCCTCTGCTCCAGTGGGGACCCATCTCCTTCCACGTGGCCTGACTGCTCCCTCCAGCCTGGAAGCTCCATGCCAGCCTCAGGGTGGTGGGGACCAGGGAGGGCGGGCGAGGGAGCCAACCTTGCACCTTGAAGACCTGAAGCCCAAGTAGCAAAGTGTCATCATTATGTGTTACATGTTGCCACTGTTACCTGCACCAGCTAGATTACAGTACTCTCTAAGGCTTTTGGGGAGCAGGGGGTACTGTGGATCGAACCCAGAGATGCTTAGCCACTGAATCATGTCCCCAGCCTGTTGAATTTGGAAACAGGGTGTCCCTAAGCTGCTGAGGCTGGCTTTGAACTAAGAAATCCTCCTGCCTCAGCCTCCTGAGCTGCTGGGATTACAAGAGCACACCACGGTGCCTGGTTGCTAAAGGGTTTTTTTTAAAAATATATATTTAGAAGTTCTACAAATTATTTCAAAAACCGATTTTATTGGCTATGAGAAACAGTGGATGAACAGGATTTGCTATAGAAACTTGCTGAGTCATTTCATTTGAACAGTGTAACCACCACGCTGTGAAGGAGGGTGCATCTTTGAATTGAGTCCTCCCTGTTTCCCGTCCCTCAGTTCAGCCTCCGAGGCACCAGGCTGCCTGCTACCCACGCAGGCCCTTAAAGGCCCGTGGCAGCCCCTCCTGGGGTGAACACCCTACCTCTCCTTCTCCTTGGCCCTCCCGGCCTCTGACTCACCTTAGCCTCCTACTAAGCCACCCTCAGACATCTAGGGGCCCCAAGTCCATCTGCAGCCGTCCCTCAACCTCAGCGACAGCATGCACAGCATCTATGCAGCAGACGCAGTGATTCCCAAACTTCAGCCCACCCAAGCCCTGGAGCTTGTTAAGACAGACTTCTGGGTCCCAACCCCAGACTGTCCCATTCCACAGGTCTGGGTGGGACCCGGAGAACAGCATTTCTAGCAAGTTCTCAGGTTGACGCCGGTGCTCTCAGTCCAGGTACCGCAATCTGAGACCCACGGGCCTGGAGAAGGTTGGAACCAGCACATCCCTGCTCTGTTCGAGGCTGCACCTGCCACTGATTGAGAGGCCTGGTCCCCGTGAGTCTGGGCCGGGCTTCCTGGTGCCTGCGGCTCTGAGGGGTCATCAGCACAACATCGGGCATCTGTCTTGGTTTCAGTCTCTCTCGGGCTAAAACAGACGTTATCCCGTTATTTCCATTTGATCTAGACCCAGCCAACTCTGGGCCAGAAGAAAGCATGCAATAAACACTCCCGTGTGAAGAGGAAGGTCAACAGGCCAGACCCAGGAAATGGAGGGACAGGGGCAGCAACGAGACCAGGAAAAAAAGAGGGAGAAACCAGAGAGAGTGGCTTTCTGTTCCCAACAACGCAAGGCGACCCCAGAGCTAGCAGACGCCCTGCTTCCCGACCAGCGGAGGGGACGGAGGGACCCATCGCATGCCTGTGTGCAAATCACCGTCTCTAACCAGAAAACCAAGACAAATGCAGTGTCACAGAGAAATAACTGGCTGCCAGGAGCTCTCCCTTTTACAAACGCCTAGACACCAAGTGTTGCCCTGTCTGTCTCTTGTGAGGCCTTCAGACGCCCTTAGGTCCTAGCCACTCTTGTCCTGGAGGCCCACAGCCCCGGAGCCAGCCCCTGCTGCTGCCGTCGGGGGCCAAAGGCCAGTCCTGGTGGAGCCTGTGACTCAGCATTTGGGCCCTTGAGAGAAATTAAGTCCAGTTTCCCATTCTGGGGGGGTTCCGGGTTTAACCACATTAGTCCTTGGGTCAGGAGAAGAATCAGCAGCAAGCCCGACAGTGACGGGAAGGGCAGGGGGTGGTGACGGCGTCTGGGTTTTCACAGACGTCAGGGCTGAGACTGGCCACAGGAGCCATCCAGCCCGGGATCCGCCCCCGCCCAGTGCAAGGGAACCACCCGGCCTCGCTCCACATTGGGATGCAGTTGTCCCAGAGGGGTGTGTGCTCGCCAGACCTTCCCCAGATGATGCCACAGGGCAGGCTTGAGTGTCGTCCGTCACAAAGAGAGTCCAGCCCACGCACTCCTGCTGCGAGAGAGGAAGTGGAGTTCCAGAGAGGTCCAGGGACCTACAGATGGAAGGTGGGACCAGGGATCTCCGGGTGCCTGCTCACAGTGGGGAGGAAAGAAGTCGTCCAGGCAGTTTGCAGTGTTCCCTCGTCCAGCGTCCTCCACAAGGGGGGTTCCCTCATGGCCATCTGGTGGAATAACCCTCAGCACCAGACAGGGACAGAATCCAGGTCGAGGGCCGCATTTCCCCGTGGGACTCTGTCCACACCTGTTGGTCAGATTCTGGAATGTTCCTGTCCCGCCTGTGAGTTCTGGGAAGCCTGCTGCCTTTAGGCTGTTGGCTCCTGGGTCCCCCACTGGAGCTGTACCTGTGTCTGGCTTGTGGCAGGGCCCCTGGGACATGGCCTCCTCTCTCAATGTACCTTGTCTCCTAGGAAGCAGCTTGTCCCTTCAGATGGTGGCACAGCAAGTGTGGCCAGATGATATCCACAGAGGAGCGTAAGCGGGATCTGAAAATGAATCAGCAACAGAAAAATATCTGAGGGCCACTGCGGTTGACAGGTGTCAGGACCACCTGTTGGGCAGCGAGCCTCGGGCCTAGGATCCGGGTCATCTTGTGGAGGCCCTGCGGCAACCCCTCTGACAGCTGTGGAAATGGGCAGGTGCTGGCACTGCTGGAGGGCGGGATCTGGCATTGTGGGCACAGGAGCGAGGAGACCAGGCCTCTTGGCAGCTGGTGAGCTGAGCAAGTGAAGCCAGAACTGGCCCAGAGCAGGCTGGGTGACCCCACGTCGCCAGGAACCAGGCAGACTTGCCAGGACGGGTGGCCTGAGGCCCCCCACTCATAGGCAGACCCTGGCTCACTCTAGAAAAGACCAAAATGAGGTCATGTGGCACATGGCCAGGGGGCTGCCCAGAGCCACACGGGGTCAGCCTGACTGCTCTGAGCTTCCAACCAAAAACCTCAAAGGGAGGAATGGCCGGCAACTGAGCCCAGGGTTTCCGGTCCACCCAAGGTGGCTAGTGTAGGAGCCACGCTGTGGGGTTCCCGGGGGCTCTGGAGGCTTAGCTATTGCCATGGTTACTGGTTTTCTGAGAATCTAGAAACTGGTTTGCAAACCTTTAGCCTCTTAGAAAAGAATCTCACTAAACCCCAAAAAGAAAAGTAGAAATGCAGCAGACGAAGGCCAATTACAAGCTCAGAATGTCACTTTCATTAAAATGCAGCATTACCACCATCCCTGGACATGCCCGTCCACGGGCACAGTTTGCCAAATCCTCGTCGTTCAAGGACCCCACTAGCTCTGCAGGAGCCTCTGGCAAGAAAATCACCTGCTCTATTAGGATCGAAGGGCTGGACCCCATCACATGACCCCCCCAGAACTCCCAGTCCCTTCACCCCTCCTGCTCATTGCCTCCGTCATCAGCCATCTGCTGAGTGCTGGCCCCATAACACGTCCAGTCTCTGCGTGTTGGGACACTGACCGGGAAATGGGACGGAAGTTAGTACATTAGTGACAGGGACAGGCAAGAAGCCGTAGGCAGGGATCTGATGAAGACTAGGCAGGATGAGGGACAGAGTGTCCATCAGAAGTGATGGATGTGAGCCTGGGTAGGTGGCGGCTGAGCCCTGAGCCTGGCCTCGGCGGCTGCTGGCTAAACACTCTGAAAATAGGGACCAAGGCTCTGAGGTGGGGGGTCTCTCCCGGCTTCACTCCCACCTCAGTGGTCAACTCCCAAGTTTGAGGTTGCCCTTCGCCCAGCTCTCCAGGGACTGTCCCTTCCCCCTTGGTCTCCTCCCCACCCCCCTGCACAGAGAGGGGTGGGGTAGGGAGGAGACACCTGCTTCAGAGCCGGTCTCCCCATGTGGCTGCTCCACTCTGGAACCGAGAGGAGGTAGGGGTGCTCCCTGCCCTCAGGATTGCTCAGAGGTCTCCAGAATATGGGGAAAGACGTCATTGTGCCATCCAAGAAGCCAGCTGTGCATGTCTGTGATCTCAGTGGCTCGGGAGGCTGAGGCCAGAGGACAGCAAGTTCAAGTCAGCCTCAGAACTTAGGGAGGCCCTAAGCAACTTAACGAGACCCTGTCTCTCAATGAATAATAAAAAGGGCTGGGGATGTGGTTCAGTGGCCGAGGGCCCCCGGGTTCAATCCCTGGTACCAACATGAACAAAGAGTAAACAAAATTCCACCAGAATACATATATCGAAATCACACTAACTCTATTGACCAATTTTAAGAGGATTGACCACAAAAATATTGAGTCTTTTACTCCATGAATATTTATCTAGTGTTCTTTTTTTAAAAATTTCTTTTAATAACACTCCTGCAGTTTTCAATTAAAATTACATTCATTTCTCTGTGTTTTTGATGTTATTAAGAATATTTAAATGTTTTGATTTTCCAATTATTTGTCACTCATCTAAAACTATCTGTCCTTTTAAGTCGATTAAACAACCCCCCACAGTGTGGTTAACACAGTAATTTGTGACTCATGCACAGTAGAGAATTTTTTTCAGTCTGTCTTCTCTCTGTTGCTACCTTGGGTGATTTCTGTTTTCTTTCCTTGATTTCGCCGATTCCCTTCTCTGCGTGTCCATTCTACTGTGGAGTCCAAGATCTTTAATCTTTGTTATTTCATTTTTCACTTCTATGATTTCCATCTGGCTCTTCTTAGGGGCCTCTGTTTCCTTTCTAAAGTTTTTTTTATTCATTTGTTTCAAGAGAATTTGTGATTGCTTTCTGGAGCACTCTGACGAGGGCCACACCTGCCAGGTCATGCCACTGTGGTCCCTTTCTGTGGTGGTGTCTGTAGATTGTCCTCTCTAAGTGATTTTCCTGGCTCATAGCACGACGCGGCGTTCCATTGTAGCTGGACGTCGTGCCTTTTATGTTCAGAGACTCTGGGGCTATTCGGTCTTTCTCAGACAGGCTGCTGCCTTGTTTAGGGTCAATATACAGATCCTGGTCCAGTGGCAGTCCAGTTGTAATCCCAGCAATGACCGGGGCTCCTCTGACCCTTCCGGTGCCTCCTGCTTTTCCTCCTGGTGTCTGGAGGTAAGAGGGAGTCTGGGGCCCTCAGAGACCAAGAGGGCTTCCCCCAGGCCACCTGTCCTGGTGCAGTCCCTCTCTTGGTACTCTCTGGTCACCCTGGGTGTCTGCCACTGGGGAAGGAGGAGACCTTGGGCCCACCATGAAGGGGAAAGAATGAATCTGCATTGACTGGCTTCAGGGAATGCCAGGTGTGTGGGGTAGTGAGATGCCCTGGTGTCTTTCCCGTCCTCGGGTCCCTGTGGGCTCCCCTTTCTCCTTCCATCTTTCAGAGCTCTCCTTGGGGTGCTGCTTGCACTATTTCCAGTTCATCTCTGCACTGAGCCCAGAGGAGAGAACGGAGCAGCAGGCCTCCACCATCTGTCTAGACCGGAAGTCCTTTGGAAAACTATTCTAAATGAAAGCATCGTGGGCCGGATCAGGGGAGAGTCGGTCTTGAATATAATTTATTGACTTAAGTAGAGCTGGGTTAAAGAAAAGGAAACAAAACTTCAGACTCAGAATTGGTCTGATCTTGGACTTGAGGACACCCCTCCACAGAAGCCCCCGACACATGGACAGTCCATCCCTTTCACCACGCCATGGGATGTGGGAATTGTCCCCCTAATGGCTTCCTGTTGTACTCCAGGTAGAGCCATTCAAAGAACTCTTCATGGACCCACAGGGTAGAGCAGGCCTAGGGAGGAGGCAGCGCTGAGGACCGTCATCTCCAAAACTGGTGATTTGAGGATGATGAATAGCTAATGAAGACTAAGGCAGGTCATGGACCAAAAGAACTCACAGAGAAGAACGAAAGCAGGGCAGTCGACCGTTTCAACACACCAGCTCGGAAAAGTGGGCAGGAACCTGTGTCCATAACAGGAAGTGCAGGAAATACCAGCCGAGAAGCTGCCCGCTCAGCACCCATCAGCCCACAGCTGCCCCTGTGGCCTGCTCCTATTTTAAGTCAGTGACGCAAGTCACGCCTTCCTTTCCTGCACCTGAAAGCATGACTTCAATCCAGACAGAGTCCCCAACAGAAGCCAGGGAGTTATTTTTAGAGCCGGGCACGTAGTATTTTGCTTCAGCCTAATCATTTGATCCTTCGAGGAAACAGATGTTCTGATGTACATCCCACCTGGTGTCCTATTGAAGGGAACTTCGTTTCTCAGGCAACTGGTTGGTCTGCAGGCAGTGACAACGAGGCAAGGACAGCTCTGGGTGTGTCCTGACCACCTATCACAGATGCGCTGAAGCTTCCCTACCAGATTATGCCCGCCTGTGGGAGTGAGTCCTAAGTAACTCCTCCCTCGACAGCTTATTTTCTCTGACAAGCCTGAGAACACAGTCCGTTCCTGGGAGTCCAAATATAGTCCCAGACTGTGTCTTTGGGCAGTTTATGTCTCTGGGCCTTCATTTCCCAATCTGTGTATTATAATCCCCCTTTTTCCATGCGGGATACATTCCAAGACCTCCACCAGAAGCCTGAAACTGTGGATAATACCAAATCCTGTACAGAGTAGGTTTTTGAGATATATATATATACACATGACTGTGATAAAGCTTAACCTGTAAATTAGGCATAGTAAAAGATCAACAGCAATAACTAATATTAAACTAGAGGAAGTATGACCACACACTATAATAGAATTGCTAACGTCACTGCTCTTGTGCCTGGGTCTCAACATTCCTATGAGAAAGGGAATATTGTCCCAGCTTTACAGAAGAAGACAATGAGAGCCAGAATGATTAGGTGAGCTGACAAGTCACAGGACCACTCACCAGGGGAATTCACGTCTTTCGGCTCCTGTGATGGTGGCTGGGACAGCCTAGGAGATAGTGTAGTATCACATACCACAGCAGCAACAATGGCAGTGTCTACAGTAAGCACACAGAAGTTTTCTACACACTTGCTCTCATTTAATACAATAACTGTGAACCATGGGTTCTATCATAAATCCCATTCAGATGAGGAGCCTAAAGTTCAAAGAGATCCAGGAAGGTGCTATGTGGGCACACAGCTGGGGGAAGATGGAATTGGGTGTTTATGTGGTCTGCAATGCCTAAGCTGTGTCTCAGCCCTGGGACGCCATCTACTGCAGCACCTAAACAAGGTCTCTAGGAGCAACTCAACGCTTTGCTTGGTCAAAATAGCCAGTGGAAGGAGGATGACCTATTTTTCATAGATTCCCTTGGTATTTTCTATGTAAACAATCATGTTGCCTGAAAAAGAGAGACAATTTCATCTCTTTTCTCTAACCAACATGACTCTTATTTCCTTTTCCTGCCTTATTGCAATGGCTAGAACTTCCAGTATATATGTTGAATAAGGGTGGAAATGGACATCATCTCCTTGTTAGAGATCTTAGAGGGAATGTTTCTGGTCTCTCATCAGTAATACAATGTCTGATAGTTAGATGCTTTTTATGAGATTAAGCAAGTTTCCCTGTATTTAAGGTCGTTTCTCTGTATTTTTAGT